CGTACAAGCCGTCCTACCCAAGAGTATTGCAACAAAACACCGATAATGCATCACCTCACCAAAGGAACAAATCACCTTTATTACTATCCTGACCCAGCAACACCAAGCTGACCTATTTCTTTAAATCATCCTCGAGTTGCCTTCAAGATAACACTTTTCCTTGATGGTACACTACAATCTTAAACCATAACTCACCGCAAGAGATCCTAGCACAAACCATGTCGTCTGAAAGAGACCTTATGTGAATTTGAAGCTATTTCTATAACCTCTCTGATAGTGGAATGTAGAATTAACTATGATCCAGAAATATCGCAAGTCTCAGCACTATCCCATGTAAGTCTTAGAATTTTGCCATATACAATTTCGGGAACCCTTCAATAACACATATATACCTCAGAAAAATTGATATAACACATGACCATGAAATTTGATCGTCAATAGTAGACTCCCTCACTTGGCGTGGAGTCATATGACATAACATCCGATGATCCACAATCCCAACCTTCACAAGTTCGTACAACACCAATCATAAGATACCTCAAATCATCTACTAAGTGCATGTCTATCCCCATGACAGCCAAGCCCGCCTCCTGAATTGACTTGAATGACAACAAGTACCTTTCACTAAATATAAGTCCCATACAAAACAGAGTCTCTAATACCACCAACTACCCTCTAATCAACACCCTCTCATGACCTTACTACGATCTCCATGACTAGGGAAACCAATTAAATATCCCAAGCTCGTACTCACGAACCATATACAAGAACCCATTACATCTCACACTTGAACAACTGAAGATTTACTATCACGTGTATGTACTTAGTCTAGACAACATGTTGATACAATGATCGAGCATCCATGTTCCCCCCATGTAGCCCATTCGCAACATCACAAATTGTCGGTGCATAGCTGATATCAACTGCACAATATTATGAATGAATGGATGCAAGTGAATTCAAGACATGTGCATCAAGATGAATTAATGTGGCACGATAAGGAATGAAAGAAGTGGAGTTTCCTAATAGTTCCGTAGTCTCTTGATGATAAGTACAAACGTCTCCGTACCAATCCGCAAGATTCTACTAAACTTGCTTATGACTCGTAGCACCTATGAACCTAGAGCTTTGATACCAACTTGTCACGGCCCATATTCCAACCTTATGAATCATGATACCACCTAGTCTCCAAGATTAGGTTACTGTTGCGACCCTAATTTCCCTCCGAAGGATGTTGTGATGGCAACTAGTATATACGACTAGGTAAGCCTAACAAATAATAACAACTGAACAGATATATAATAACCAAATATTGAAAATGACTAAATAGTAGATAAAACCTCCTGAAAGAGAATCTCATATATACACACCCCAAATCTGGTGGAACTTAGTCATAAGCTCTATAGAGTGCAACAACAGTACTACTATATCACTGTCCATAAAGAAAATACAACAGTAATGAAAATAAGGGAAGGTGGCTCCGAGGAATGTGGACGCCGAGCAGGCATACCTTGAAGTCTCTGGTAAAAGCAACTAGAAGGAGATCTCTATTGACAGGAATGAGCAAACATACCTAGATCTACACAAAACGATGTGTAGAAACATAGTATGAGTACACCTTAATGATACCCAGTAAGTATCAAGCCTAACCTCAGTAGTATAGTGACGAGGCCAGGTCAAGACACCTACTAGGATATGAAATAGACAGTATAAATATGTAGTACAGATAAGTAACGAAAAGTGAAGAATAACTAATACAGAACAAGATAATAGCAAGGACTAGTACCGAAAATTAAAAAATAGAAATAGAATAAAAGAAGCAACTAAAGTTCTACAATGATCATGTACGGACTACAAGTGCTAGAATATTAACGAATGAAGCAACAAGAAATATTCCTTCCACAACACTTTGCAACATGAAACAAATAGCAAGAAACAAAATGAGGTACTGCCTCGTGTATAATGAAATCAAACTAATGTACCGCCTTGTATAATCAAGAATAACAACTGAGGTACCCCCTTATGTTCACATTTCTCAATTTCAATCACAAACTTTTCTTAACCACCACGTGAGCCTTAAATTTGAATATAGGCTTTGAAAACCATTCTCCCAATATAGCTACATGGACTTTAGCCCACCTTATGACGCCGCATGTCTTCACGAAGTGCCCCTACAAATAATCACGCAGAAGTCCCACCTTATATAGCCGTATGCACATCAACTCCAGCCTTATATCGCTGCATGCGCATCAATAACATATCATAATAACAAGTCGCACCACAACTGCCCACATATCACAACTTGTTAACAACAACAATACCAATGTTTCGACAACAATAGCCCATGGCTCCACCCCAACATATACAAGAATTATCACGACCCAAACTGATGGGCCATGACGGGTGCCCGAGTCCTATTATCAAACTCCCCTAAGCATGCGTCTAAGATATAAACCTAAATATCATCTACTGAATTACGATAATAATATACATGAAGGATACCTTCCCAAAAAGGCATACATACACATAAGTGCAACATACGTAGGACGAGATGTCAAGGCTGCTATAGACGACTATGTACCTCAAAACTAGAAGCCAGCAAGGCCACACACTATCCAACTAGACATACTGTGTACAGACCTCTAATAAAAATATAACTGTACAAAGACGGGACTGAGCCACATCATACCTATATATATATATATATACAAACATAGCGTACCAAAATAAAAAATAGCTCTAGATCAAGTGGAGCATGCCAACTCTCGCTGATCATGAATCCTAAGAATGGGGACTGTCAGCTTGCCTACCTGCACCTGCCGGGAGAAAACGCAGGCCCCGTGAAATAGGCATCAGTACAAAAGATGTGCTGAGTATGTAAGGCATGAAAATCAGTATGTAAAAGACATAGATGAAACATGGAATAAAGATATTCATCTATAAATCTGAATAACTTTGTAAATTCTGAAACATTTATTATGTCATGCACATGCATATAAATGTCGTGTATGCATAGGTATGGGTGTACATAATATCATCAAGACTTTTAGGGAATCCCATCATATCGTCTCAGCCACTATGGGCAACATCATCAGCATTTACCAACTGATCAGGTGGTGGTGTATATATAACGCCGTAACTTTTTTTCCATACCCCAAATACATAAATATATACATATATATATGCATGTATAATGCCATCTAGTCATGGATCAATGTATATGTATAAATGCATGAAATGTATAAGAAATACATTAACATGGTTTTCTCAGAATGCCATAAAAATCAATATATATTTCGGATAAACTTTATCAAATACATATTTTTCTGGGACCCATAAATAGAAGATAATAATAATTCACATGGGGAATCAAGAATATAGACACCCCTAGTATTTCTATGAATAGAGTCATTTATGAAAGTTGCCTATTTTGCTCATTTCATTTGTACCATATGGATAATGCCAAAAGAAAGAAAGGATGGCCTTAACATACCTGGAGTAGGGAAAACTCTATATAATATTCTTGAAGATTGCACAGTACTCTTTTGGAACCGCAAAATTTTATGTTGCTACGATTCAAACAATTTTCGTTGGAAACCTTCGTGGATTGAACTTAGAATCCAAAAGATTCGATTGAATTTTTCTTCTATTCTTGAAGTCTTGAACGAATTAAGCTTCTTCTCTTTTGAAGCAATTTGAGCGAACTAAGCTTCTGCTTTTTGATGTTTTTGGTACGAAGTAAGCTTATGCACTTTGAAACCTTTTGAATTAGGAAAATGGAATATGTATCTTGCTTTGAGATTTTTTGACGTTTTTGGTTCCTCTTTTGTCCAAATGAAGTCGACAATATTTGAAGACAAATGGAGTGGACAAGCTTTTATCCCCGAGTCTATGTTGATTAACTGAATATGAAACTTTTAACGTACAAAAATGCAAGATGTAACATCCTCCCCCCCCCCCTTAGAAACATTCGTCCTCGAATTTTCAACTCCCCGGGATCTATATAACTTTTGGCAGGGTCGTCCTTGTAACAACACTACTACCAATTCTCCTTGTGGAAGCTTAACAATCCAACGCCACACAAGGCCACAATCATCAATATTGACAATGGTCGCACATGATCAATGACAATAACTTACACAAGAATCTATACACGTACCTTGAGGTTATGACGTCTTAGTCAGATCCTTACCTTGAGGAGGAAATAAGTAGGGATATCTAGACTTCGTGTCTTCTTTAGCCTCCCAAGTCATTTCTTCCACATTGTTGTTCCTCCAAAGTACTTTTACGGAGGCTACCTCCTTATTCTGTAGCATGTGGATTTGTTGGTCTAGGACGACGGCTGGAATTTCCACATATGACAAGTCCTCTGTAATCTGAACATCATCCATGGGCACCACTCGGGTAGGATCGCCAATGCACTTCCGTAACATAGATACGTGAAAAACCGGATGGACAGACTCCAATTCCGAGGGCAATTCTAACTCATAAGATACTTGGCCAACTCTCTGAATGATCCTATAAGGCCCAATATACCGTGGGCTAAGTTTGCCTTTCCTGCCAAACCTCATCACACCCTTCATAGGTAACACCTTTAAGAATACTCAGTCATTAACCCCGAACATTAAATCTTGTCGCTGCATGTTATAATATCACTTTTGACGACTCTGAGCTGTCACCATTCGATCCTGGATAAGATTTACTTTTTCTATGGCTTGCTCAACAAGGTTTGGCCCATGTAATCCAGATTCTCCAACATCCAACCACCCTATAGGCGATCTACACTTCCGTCCGTAAAGATGTTCGTATGGAGCCATCAGAATACTGGAGTGGTAGCTATTATTGTCATGCCCCGAACTTGGGGGAGCGAGACCGGCACCCAGTACCTTACCTATCCTTGCGTACCAACTTGCAACTAAGGGACTCTGAACATATGATGTCCTACTTTTGTCCATGGGACACATTTCAAGACGACAACGAATGCTGACTAAATATGAATATAAAGCTTGGCCAACAAGGCTGTCATATTTATTACAACTGACAAACCAACCAAATATACATACAAGGCCTGAAAGCCCAACATACTGCACTAACTGAAAAGATATGTCTACAACCCTCTACTAATGGATATATTGTGATCAGAACAGCTATCCGACCGACTCATGACATATATACGTATATATACAAGATATACATAAGGCTCTAGACCTAGAAACTTCGAAAGGCATGGAGTTTACTGATCAAGCTGAGCTCGGGCAACATTTATTGAAGAGGCCTACTTGTTTGTCTGTCTGACTGACCTGCATGCATGAAATGCAGCGCCCCCAGAAAAGGGACATCAGTACAAAATAATGTACTGAGTATGTAAGGCAATATACTGAAAGTTGAACCTGAACTGAATATATATAACTACAAGTAGCTGGAAGTCAAAGATAATCTAAAGATATGCTTACCTGCTGATACTGACTCAATTCTCTCAATATAGTAAGTAAAATAGTTGTCCGGCCCTATAAGGCTCAGTATACATATATATTTGCTCTGCCGTAGTAGGCTCTCTCATAAGCGCTCGGCCATAGTAGGCTCGGTATATATATAACTGCTCTGCCATAGTAGGCTCACTCATAAGCGCTCGGCCATACTAGCCTTTGTATCTCGACCAACTGGGCTCGCTCATAAGCACTCAGCGACAGTAGACTAGGTGTATAACTTACCATCTGATCAGAGGTTGCCCAATAGGGGCCTGCCCATCGATTATAGCTCGATGGTAATGAAACTATATATATGTAAACTCTCTGCTCTCTTGACTGGAAGAAGGAAATACTCAACTAGTATGAATTCCCCATAAGGAGTTACAAAACTACAAAAAATATATGTAACTTGCGAGACTAGAAAATTATACGTAAATTTTGGGATATAAATTTTTCTTTATGCTTCGTTATCAAACTTGTATAATGACAAGATCATGCAAAATGAAGGAAGAGCTTAGCCTTAACATACCTGATCCAGTTCTCTTGACATATCCTCTAACAACGTTAATTGCGTAATGACGGATCAAAGTACGAAAAAATACAAAAGCCAACCTATTATGAACAGATTTATGACATGAGTCTTTTATCTATGGATTCCGTGTTGAGCTTGAATCATTTCATGTATGATTGAGGTGAGCTTGGCATAATATCCAAGGAAATAGATGCAAAATAACAACTCTATGTCAACATACCAGTAGTACTTCAAGACCATATCATAGGCCTATAACACATGGTGTTGGCCACCAATTTTGGGTAATTGGTAACAAATGTGACCCAACATCTGCTGCTAGTGATCTTGGCCATTCCTTATTCATGAATAGAGAAGGGCGGGTAGAGCTTTCCACTTCATCCATTTGTATATTTTACAAGACAACACAATCCTTACATGGTCTGTTGCTAATAATTCCAAAATGAATCCTTGACTAAGAATTGCTGAAATTTTTGGAAAAGAACGTTATTTTGGTATGAATCTTTTCTTAAGAGATTATAGATGTTGTCCTTACTTTTAGGTAGGCCCAAATAAAAAGCTTGGTGTCACATAATCTTCTTTCCAAGTTTGACACCTTTACCTCTCTTTTAATAGTCATAAATTAGGAAAGGGGGGTGCTGCCACGTTGAGCAGGGGTCAATGTTATCCAAAAATTATCCACTTATTTGAATAACTGGGTAATGTCCCATTACCCGGTAATTAACCAACTACCCGCATAATTTAAAAATTATCAAAAATAACTTAAAATATTGCTCACTTTCCACATGCCTTATACACCTTACTATCATGGTCATGTAGTACCTTGTATGACAATAGTTCATAAATACCGGGTATTTTAACTCGACCCGTATTTTATCCCAACATGCCAAACTTTGACAAAAATTCGTTTTCTTAGACTTGCTACCCCTTTCACCTTCCTGAATTTACTAATCACTTGTGAAATAGCATAATCCTTATAATCCCCAAATAATCTTTTCCTTGGACTGATGTCAATTACCTTACGAAAAATTCAACATAAAATACTACAGGGTAGTACTGCGGGACGGGACACCTCACTTCCGGGCTCTTATTAATTTATTTTATGGCGTACTTTCATGAACAAAAATATGAGGTGTAACATCAGCCCCACTTTGGAACATTCGTTCTCGAATGTTGTCTCATGTGCTTATCCTCCTCATATCACATAGCTCAAGCGAATACATTAGTAGTCCTTTTTCCATCTAGGCAATTATTCTGTGAATAAGTCCAAAGGCTAGGGCATTCCCCCCTTTTAAGCCTCTCTCTCACACCACGACTTATAGTCGGAATCCTTCTGATCTCGTAATTGTTGATACCTTCTATCATGCAACTTTTACAACTCTAGCTTTGTATATGCGCCTATGCGACTCTTCTCTTCTCTTTCCTCCAGCTTTTAGCCAATCTCTAGGCTTCACTTTATGAATATATACAAAATTATGTCAAGTTGTCCCTCTGGGCATCATTAGCTTTATTATATCTAAGTAGGTCATACTATACCAAAATTCTTACTTCGATTTATTGTTACTGAAGTCTGCTACCGAACTCCAGGTTACTTTTGTTGTTTATCTTATATGCATAAGGCTAAATACTTTAACGCTTCTTCATTACTGTTCATCTTAAGACTGATGTCCCAATCTCATCTCGTACTTTGCAACTTTTACCCACCTTAATGTTGTTCTACAATCTACCATTTGAAAACTTGAAACTTCTTATGTAATACATTGTCGCTAGGGCTCATGTCTCATCAGGGACACCTGGAGTAATTAGACCGATCCACTTAGGAGCGATACTATACTTCCATAATCGTAATTTACAGCATCCCAATGTGATCCACCTTACGTGGTATTTTAATCCCGTAGAGTTCATGAAATCCTCTTCAATTCATTACTCAATCGAAAGGTCCAACGTCATCCTTTATCTTTCACAATTATACCCTCATTTTATTACCAGGTCAGCATTTCATTCCTTATAAATGCTATTAATCTTAGACTCCTCTTGAGTTTATTCAGACTATACTAAACTTTCAATAATTTAGAGAAGCCATTATCTCTCTTGTTTTCATGGACTTAATCCTGAGGACTTATCCATTCTCATCACCTTTGCACTTGCCTTTTCTCATTCTTACTCATGTTTTCTTAAAACTTTGTCGCTCTATCATACTTTAACTTATGGCCTATACATATCCATTTATATTATTCGCAACTTTCCTTCAACTTGCTCGTACCATAGATTTCCTTATGTTATTCTGGAACGTCAAGCAAGACATCACATTGCCTCCAACTTTTCTCTACTCTCTTAACTAGATCTCTCAGTACATAGAAACCATAGGCTGGAAGGTATGCCGCCGATGATATGCTATCATTCCCGGTTATTGGATCCCCGTGCTTATAGCCTTCTATCCGAAGTATGGACTATTCACTACTTTCTGCATTTCAGTATCTCGTACGTTGTTCACTTTTACATTACTTACTTAAAACCTCGTATCATATATTCTATTTATTTCATAACCTCCCTTCCACCTAGGTGTAATTCACGTCCATAACTTGAAACTTTATCCTCTGGTACGTACACAATCTGGTGGGAGCTTCGCACTGACTTCTTATGAAGCTGGTACTTATTCTAACTGGCTTCCTTGTAGAGCCATTATAGATTATGGTTGTTGTGTTATTTGTCTTGAACGTCTGATTCTAAGAGCGATTCTCTCATGTTCTCAAGCACAACTTCTATAATTTTTGTAGGTCCAATAATCAGACTCCTAATTTACTTAGGTGATGTAATTCTTTAGTTTCCTCTTCCTTCTAATCAACCTAAGCTACCTTTCGATCTATGGATCATGGTATCAGTTATTACCTTAGCCTTTCTTGGGCATTATGGAATATCCATGATATTATCTTCTAACAATTCAATCCTTTATCTATGCCCTGGGCTCAATTCTTTCTTTTAACTTATACCGGAGTCTTCTATAGCTATATGATTGTCAACAAAAATGTTGCCTGGATAATGTTCTAAAATCTTGAGTGTATCCATAACGTACTAACTCTGGATCATTGATCAAATAATTCTTTTGTTCCGAATTAGCTTTCTTCCAACATAAGCTATTACTTTTGCTGGTCTTTCTGCCCTCTTGTTGCATCCATACTTAGCTTATCTTAGTGCCCACACTTGCCAGAGTTTTCATACAACTCATACGATCTCGAATATTACTTTTAATTCTTACTTCCCGTTCATTAGCCACGCTAGGTGCCAGTTTTCTTTGGAATGCTTACAATGTTGTTACGAGATTGTTATTACATGACCATTTCCTCTTTAGGTCGGTGTGCTTAGGTTGAAGCTTTCTTTCTTATCTCATCAGCTAGTCTTTCTTTGTAGTACTTAGGGAGAACCCTTGACTCTCATAAAGCTATGAGCTTATTACAGACCTTCTTGATGTCCTTACTTGCCTATAATCATACGTAGTTGCTTACTTCCATACCCTTGTGCTTGTATAGTTGCTTCTGAATTGATATTTTAACTGCCTTCCCAGTGTCACTTTTGTTTATCCCCGTAACACTCATACATTACCTTTAATTACCCCGACTCTTGTTTGAATATATTTCAAGTATTATAATGATATTATTTGAGGCTGAATTCTCCATGTTGGGTTCTACTATGTTTATCTTACACGATCTGATGACTCGTCTGTAACCTTCTATTTAGCTATAATTGGGGTTTTCCTGACCAATCTCTAACTACTCGTTGGTCCATTCTCATATCAATATTTCTCATAATCATTCTTGGGTTATTTCCTTTGTCTTAACTTACGTATCGCACTAGCTCCTTATTTATTAATAACAGCTCGGGCAGAAACCTTTACTTCCTTTAATATTCCATAGTCGCTAAAACCACTTAATTCTGACTTAATACCATATCACTCCGTATTCCCCCCTTTAGGGGTATACTAAAAGCTGAAGCCACAAGGATTTACTTATAGATATTTTACCTCCTCATTTTTGGTGTTGTTTCTCAACATCAACGATCCTTACGCGCCTCGCGGCAATCCTCATATACCAAGGATGACACATTCCCTTACTCGCGAGGGTGGCACTTAGCGTAACTGGTACATACAGTCTCTTAAGCTTAACTTTGCTCACATTGCTTGCTCTAGGGAAGTGTCTCTCTGAATGACCATTCTCTGAATTCATCTTGAATCTACTTTTTTGGTCCGTCCTATTATTGCCAGAACATGATCTTAAATTCTCAAGATGCTGACTATTATCAAATGAAGGAAGAGCTTAGCCTTAACATACCTAATCCAGTTCTCTTGACAATTCCTCTAACAACGTTAATTGCGTAATGACGGATCAAAGTACGGAAAAATACAAAAGCCAACCTATTATGAACAGATTTATGACATGAGTCTTTTATCTATGGATTCCGTGTTGAGCTTGAATCATTTCATGTATGATTGAGGTGAGCTTGGCATAATATCCAAGGAAATAGATGCAAAATAACAACTCTATGTCAACATGCCAGTAGTACTTCAAGACCATATCATAGGCCTATAACACATGGTGTTGGCCACCAATTTTGGGTAATTGGTAACAAATGTGACCCAACATCTGCTGCTAGTGATCTTGGCCATTCCTTATTCATGAATAGAGAAGGGCGGGTAGAGCTTTTCACTTCATCCATTTGTATATTTTACAAGACAACACAATCCTTACATGGTCTATTGCTAATAATTCCAAAATGAATCCTTGACTAAGAATTGCTGAAATTTTTGGAAAAGAACGTTATTTTGGTTTGAATCTTTTCTTAAGAGATTATAGATGTTGTCCTTACTTTTAGGTAGGCCCAAATAAAAAGTTTGGTGTCACATAATCTTCTTTCCAAGTTTGACACCTTTACCTCTCTTTTAATAGTCATAAATTAGGAAAGGGGGGTGCTGCCACGTTGAGCAGGGGTCAATGTTATCCAAAAATTATCCACTTATTTGAATAACTGGGTAATGTCCCATTACCCGGTAATTAACCAACTACCCGCATAATTTAAAAATTATCAAAAATTACTTAAAATATTACCCACTTTCCACATACCTTATACACCTTACTATCATGGTCATGTAGTACCTTGTATGACACTAGTCCATAAATACCGGGTATTTTAGCTCGACCCGTATTTTATCCCAACATGCCAAACTTTGACAAAAATTCGTTTTCTTAGACTTACTACCCCTTTCACCTTCCTGAATTTACTAATCACTTGTGAAATAGCATAATCCTTATAATCCCCAAATAATCTTTTCCTTGGACTGATGTCAATTACCTTACGACAAATTCAACATAAAATACTACAGTGTAGTACTGCAGGACGGGACACCTCACTTCCGGGCTCTCATTAATTTATTTTATGGCGTACTTTCATGAACAAAAATATGAGGTGTAACATCAGCCCTCCTTTGGAACATTCGTTCTCGAATGTTGTCTGATGT